ATTATTTAACTTATTGTTGTAAGCCACCCCGAGGCTTCGGAGAATGGGGCAGCATAAAAATGTTTTAATAAATAAATAAATAAACTGGAGTTAATTATATTATTGGGTTTGCTTACCTGGAAAACTTAGTTTTGTTTGTGATTCTTTTTTCCTGGAGTAAAAGAGATAGATTTACTTTTAGTTAGTAATTTATAATTTACATTGACTATCAGAAGGGCTAAATTCTCTGCCCTGGCCTCTTTGTCGTGCTGCCAAACTCACACAGTTGCTTAACTTGTTTGTATACTGGCACTTTGTCTTTGGGACTGAGCCATTTTCTCACTGGGGCTCCTCAGGGAGCTGGCTCCTCCACAGCGTATCACCTTATATAGTTCTAGGCAGACTGGTTGTAACAAGAGTTGGGCCAGTTTGACTCGAGGACATAATTTGAAAAGCAACAGAGGCTGTGGCTGAATGGGAATGTAAGTTAATTCTCGGCCTGCCCACCCATGCTGGAAACTGAGATACTCTATTCAGTTGAAGGGAAAATAGACCAAAGGTAGGTCATTTCTGATGGGATATGGTTTGGAAGGCTGAGTTCCTTTGTGTAAAAAGGAGCCATTTCATCCATTTAAAATAGGAAACAACTGTTCAGAAGCTGAGAAACCATCAAAGAATTGTGGTTAGGGGAAAAGGTGTATCTTTCTGGGGGAACCTTGGAATGAGATCCCAGGACTGAGATTTTGCTGCTGATAGGTGTGAAAGGATGATTTGAAACAAGGAAGTATGAAAAGTAAAAAAGTTAACAAAGAAAATTCCATAGTCTAAAGGGGGTGCGTATACAGTGTGCGAGAAAACCAGCACGTAGACAAAATGGCCGAATACTGGCTGAATGACTCACTTATTGTTAGTTGACAAGCATGGCAGGACAAAATGGGCCTATTATAGCTCACCAGGGAGGGCTGAAGTGGGAAAGAAGGGCTGGTATTGGAGCAGTGTGGAGCAGGCCAGTGGAAAGATTGTAAACTCCCGGTACCCCAGCCAATGAGAGGAAAGGAGGAGGGAGAAGTGGCCGGGGGCAGGGCATAAAATGGGATGTGAGCATGTGCTGAGTTGGGCTGGATGATGGGAAGGAAACCAAATTGGCTCCCTTTGCTGCAATAAAGTTTCAAAAAGAACTCTCTGCATGCTTGGAATATTTTTGTCTTTCAAAGGAAAGAGTGTTTCTAGCAGCTGCTGTTTTAGAAACTTCTGCAACTCTCATGTAGTCTCAAATAAAAAACTAAAACTTTAAAACCGCCTGTTTTTTTTTACACAATTTCCCCTTTTTTCTTAGCTGCCAGCACAAATTTGTAAAGAATACTCCCTGAAAAATTCATCTGTAGAAGCATTTTTTTTGCAGAAGCATTCTTTTGAAGACCAAGTTTTATAGAAACATCGAAACAGAGCAAGTCAGAAGGGGCCTCCCGGGCCATCTAGTCTGACCCCCGGCTCCAGCTGGCTCCGCTCATGACATGCCCACCATGTGCATATCCAGCCTATCTTTGAACACCCTCACCAATGGGGCCTCAACGACCTCTCGTGGAAGCCCATTCCACACCCTCGGGGTCCTGACTGTCAGGAAGTGCTTCCTGGCATCTAAATGGAACTTTCGTTCCCTGAGCTTTGCTCTGTTGAAGCGCATCCTGCCTTCCTCTGCAGGGGAGAACAGGTCTCTACCCATCTCCATGTGACATCCCCTCACATACCTGTATGTTGCCAACATATCCCCTCTGAGTCTCCTCTCCTCCAGGCTGAAGAAACCCAGTTCCCTCAGTCTCACTTCATACCCCATCCCCTGCAAACCAGCCACCCACCTTGTGGCCCTACACTGCACTGATTCTAACCTGGCTATATCCTTCCTGTAATGAGGGGCCCAAAACTGAGCACAATACTCCAGTTGCGGGCGCACCAGAGTTGTGTAGAGTGGTAGTAATATCTCTCTTGATCTAGTAGCCACACTTCTGGCTATGCAACCAAGGGTGGCGTTCGCCCTCTTGACCACATCATGCTGCTGACTCATGTTTAGCCTGGAGTCAACCAGCACCCGGAGGTCACTTTCACAAGTGCTGCTCTCCAGCCACTTGTCACCTAACCTGTACTTATGACACCCATTCCTATGCCCCAAGTGCAAGACGTTGCACTTATCCACATTGAACGCCATCCTGTTGTCTCCTGCCCACTTCCATAGTCTGTCCAGATCCTTTTGGATCTGGAGTACCTGCTCCTCAGTTGTGGCCACTGCTCCAGTTTTAGTGTCGTCTGTGAATTTGATCAGCAGACTGTTCACCCCTTCTTCCATGTCATTGATGAAAAGATTAAACAGGATCGGCCCCAGGACAGAGCCCTGGGGGATCCCGCTGGTCACTGGCCACCATCCTGATGATTCCCCACTAATGGTTACCCTCTGCTTCGGTCAGTCAACCATGCCCTAATCCATCAGACAGTGTTTTGGTGTATCCCAAAACTCCTCCGTTTCTCAACCAGGATATTATGGGGCACTTTGTCAAAGGCTTTGCTGAAATCCAGGTAAACCACATCCACCGCATCCCCTCCATCTAGCTATTTCGAAACCTTGTCATAGATTTCCACAAGGGTTGTCTGGCAGGACCTGTTTTTGTGGAAGTCGTGTTGTGTGGCTGCCAGCCTCCCTTCCCTATCTTGCATCACTAGATCTCTCTATTATGAGCCTTTCCATTGTTTTTCCAACAATGGACATAAGGCTAACTGGTCTGTAATTCCCCATGTCCCTTCTACTACCCTTTTTGAAAATTGGGACCACTGATGCCACCCTCCAGTAATAGTATACAAAGTGGAACCCAACCACATTTTTTTCTTTTCAAACACGCTCATTTCTGCCCTCACTGTTTATAATACAGTGGTACCTTCTCTCACAAACTTAATCAGTTCCACGACTCCGGTCATGACCCGAATTGGTCGCAAGCCAAGTCAAATTTCCCCATAAGGTTCAATGTAAATAAGGTTCATCTGTTCCGAACCGTAACTTTATGTTATACATAAAGAACAGCATATAGAAATTTTAAATAAATGTTTATTTTTTAAACCACAAAAATATGAGCCATGTCCCTGGGGTGCGGGCACAGCCGTGGCTGCCTCGCCAAGCCTGGAGGCGGACAGGCTGAGGCGGAGCAGGAGCGGGGCAGTGGCTCCTGCGCCTCCGCCGCGGCCTTCTCAGGGCAAGCTGGCTACACTGAGTGGCCTCCATGCTTCTTCCCACCCTGGTCTGGGAGAGGTGGGAAGCGCCCTGCTCCGCCGGCTGCAGCTCTGTCCCTTGCCTCCCCTCACCTCGGCCCACGAAAAGCAACCCTTACCTCCCTCCTTGCAGCCCTCTCCTGGCTGGAGGAGCCCTCCCATGCTCGCCTCTCCGGCCTCCCGCTCCCCCTCCCGGAGCCGGGCGAGCATCTGCGAGGGGACTTTCCTCTGGCTCAGAAGCAGAGCAGCAGCAAGGAGCCGGGAAGGCCTTGGCCAAGGTGAACACGCCCTCACGGCTCCCCCTCGTGGTGGGTGGGGAGATTATTGTTTGGAGTGTTCATGCGGGGAAGATGGCCGCATTCCTGATTGTGTTCATGCGGGAACATGGCTGCAATGGTGGTCGTCACCCGATGCAGATTTTGTGACCTGAGGCAAAATTTTTCTGAAATTTCTGTTCGCGACCCAATCTGGTTGTGAACTGAGGCATTCGTGAGCCGAGGTACCACTGTATGTGGAGAACTGACAAGCATGCATGAGAAGCCCAGGTTGAGGAGCATGTGCAATCAGCTTCAGAAGTGATCTTCAGTGGCTTGAGAGAACTGGGGGTACAGCCCTAGAGACCTGAAGGTCTGAAGTGGGGGGACAGAAAAACGGGTATAAAAAGTATTATTTCTCTAGTCCCACTCCTTTCTATGTTTTCCCCCCAAGAAAAGAAAGCAAAGAAATTTCCCTGAATTTTCCCATTCAGGGAAATTTCCCCTCTTGGCCCTCCAATTTCTCTAGCCTAGCCCTGAGGGAAGGCAGGAAAAGCTCAGGGAACTTGTGCTTTTCAAGTGCCCATGGCCTTGAAGAACTGTATCTTGAAGTATGCGGTCTTTGTTTTCTTGTATTATAGAAATGCATTACCCCAACCACCCTGCCATCTATTTCCATTTGCTTCCTTGTAAGGATCTGTGGCAAGGCACAGCTACAAAAGCCTCAAGTTACTTCATCTCGAAAACACCAGTTCTGCTTAAAACCCTATATATAGTATTTATTCACCAATAACGAGTGTTCACTGATATATATTGTAATCTATGTATGCATATAATTTTTCTTACTTTTTATATCCCTTTTGTTGGAATTTCACAATAAAAATGTTCAAAAAGTGAAAAAATAGAAAATGCTCGTTCTTCATACCCCTCCTGTTAATTGCCTACAATAAGTTTTAAACGCAATAAAAGCTATCAGCAATATGACTCGGTTCTGCTAAACCAGAGCAGCACGAGAGCACTGCTCCTTATTCGATATTAATTGAAGCAACAGCCTCCGATCTGGTATCCTCCAGATGTGTACAGCTACAACTCCCATCATCCCCTGGTGTTTTGCACAGCAGCAGGGCACAGACAGCGGAAAGGTGAACTGGACTATCACACGACCAACCCATTCAGCGCTCTCCCAGGGTTCAAACTGACGTGGAATAGCCTAAACGGCTCCCGCCTGCCCAATAATTCCTTTCTTCCCGCCCCGGCTTCTATGACCTCATCATCCTCGGACCATTCCCAAAGCGAGAAGTGGCTTCCTGGGCAGGCCAGCTCCGCCCACCAACTCCTCAACCCATCCTCCGTTTCTTTTGTCCCGTTTGCTTCTTCTCCGCCCCAGGATTTGTTTGCGTTTCCAAACGAGTGGCAGGCGGTGATTGGTGGTTTCCAGACTAGCCAATCAGGGACAGGCACCTCAGAGCAAGTTTATGGGGTTTTTAAAAAAATCCTCTAACGCTGAGCGCACACCCCTTGTACCCTTCCACCTACGCGTGCGGTCTCTATCTTCAGGTCATTAAGCGAGGAGAAGAATTAGAAGAAGTCGTGCAACGTAGTTAAAATGCGAATAACTCCCTGCTTGTAGGGGCCGGACTAGCGCTTTGCAAAGCGGACGTTCTTGAATATGCCAGGGCGCTTATGAGTAGCTGCAACGACTTGCAGTTTAGAATTCCGTCAAAGACGAGTTGCTTATGATTGGCTTGTTCACGCAGGTTTCCCAGAGTCTTTCTATAGCCAATCGGAGCTCAGGACTTCCTGGGATCTCGTCTACTGGGAGGAAGAGGCTCGCCTTTAGGGAGGGGTGGTAGGCAGGGGAGAGAAGACTTAGAGGAGCACGCAAGGATGAACATTAAGAGAGTGTGCCTGCTAACGCTTCTCCTGGCACTGGCACAGTTGGCTCTTCTGGCAAGCTGTCAAGACGAGGAGCGAAGGGAAGGTAAGCGTGTTCGTTCCTCTGAGAAGAGCCGCTCTCCCAGGCCTGGGAGAAGCTTGCTTGGGGCGTCCGTTTGCGCTGGGGTTAGAAACCCCAAGAGAAAGGAGCGCCTAACGGCAGATTCTTCTAGAGACGGAAAGGGAGAAGGCCTCCTGTTGCGGGGGACGCGGGGCGCAACGTAGCAGCAGGACCCTTGGTGGAGAAACCATTAGGAAAAATAGCTGGCAGGAAGGCAAAATGGGCTATATAGAAGCGGGTGGGACGTCAGTGTTTCAGAGCAGAAGAGCCTGCTAATTTTTTTTCACGATTTCAGTGTATTTTATTTAAATATATTTGCATGCAAGATAGAGGTGGTACCCTTCTCGACGTACAGGAAGGCCATGGGTTGTAGTTAACGTCGGTCTAATTATTAAAGCCTAATTATTTAAATAGATCTGCCCTGAGTACGGCTAACACTGAATGAAACCCCAGTTTGGACTCGGTACCTGTTACTTTTTGGTACTGCTAAATAGTGTCTGCAAAAGGATGTCATTTGTTTAGTGCTGCAAGGACATATTTCGCAAAGTTGGTAGATATATTCTTAATGCAAATGTAAAATGTGTTGTACAAGAAAACGTTAGTGCTTCTTAGATTGATAGAAGGTAAAAAGACATTGTCTGTTTAGTCATGCAGGAGCTTATATTTATGGGCAGTGTACCTAGGAATAGAGAAGCTAGAGGTAGTAATTGGGTAGAACTTTTCTTGGTAGCTTTCTGGAGGCATTCAGCTGCTGTTGGAAACAATGTTGGACATTACTCTGATTCAGTAATATTGACTCTTAAAATCTTAAGGCATGATCCTATGCTAGCTTGGGTAGAAGAAAAAGACCTACTACTCCCATTATGCCCCGGCCAGCTATAGGCATGCTGGGAATTGTAGGCCAGCATGCCTACAGTTGTCTACATAGGATTGCACCCTAAGTGAATTTAGGGACAAGAAATGCAAGTTAGTAGGTAATGAAATATTTCAGCATACATCCTATTTCTGGATACTTCTGGGGTTAAGCTTATATAGAAATGCTTGTTAGGCCTCTAATTGCTTGCTTGGAGCACATGTAGCAAGAGGCCATACCTTATGCTTTGATTGCCTGAAGATCTAGGTTCACCCTGTGACATCCTTAAATCGGGCTTGGAGAGACATCTCTCTGAAACCTGGAAGAGTTGCTTCCAGTCAAGATGGATCTGATAAATAAAATGATGGTACAAGGCAATTTCTTATATATCTGTATAATTTTTCTGTTAAGATTTCTCAAGTAAAGTATAGAAAAAACATTGCATATTACACAGAGTTTGTACAAAAGCAGCTCATGCTGGATTGTGTCAGTTGTTTGCTTGGTAGTACAAGTTCTCTGGGGAGACCATGTTTATAATTTTTAACTAATGGTTTGGCTGCATGTAATTAAATCCTCCTTAAACTGTATAATTAGTTTTGCTCATGCATATAAACTGGGATCAAAGCCAGAATTCAAGGTAAATTTGTTTATACCTGATCTAAAGTCATATTTTCTCCTCTCAGTTCATGGTTAATCATTCTTTTTAATTTCATCTTATTGAATGGGGTCACAATTTTTGAGATTATAGAACAGAACCTTTGAGATAGAATGTAACAATTGTCATGGAAATTCTAAAAAAGATACCTTACACATACATCTTTCAGCACAGGTCATGCTGAAAGATATTGTGACACATTATTGTAAATTGGGGCTCTGACCTGAATGTTCTTTGATGTTAATCTCCTACTTTACCTTGCACATATTACTCACTTAAATCTCTGTTTTAGAACAGGGAGGAACATAAGCACACTGGGAAAAGGGGAGTTGTTACTTTTCCGAAATATTTCCAAAACAGTTTCCTTTGTTTAGAGCCATGGTAGGCAATGTGTAGCTCTCCAGATGTTGCTGCTCTGCAGTTCCTTACATCCTTCACCCCACTGGCTGTGTTTGTCTAGGGCTGATGGAAGTTGCACTCTTTATCCACTATGGGATTTTTTGCGTGGTGGGGTGACTTGATAATTCCACTATCAGCATATTCCGTGAAAAAGCCTCTGTTGCAAACATTTAGCACTTGTTTCTCACCATAGCCAGCTTGTACAGTTTCTAACCCATGGAGCTCAACACTAATTAGTATTCTAGGAATGATTGTCTGCAGTCTGTTCTTGTTGGTAAGGGTGGGGCAGTGAAGTAGGAAGTTTATTGAACTCCATCAGAGGACTGAGATGTTGGGTGTTGAAGCCTTGAGGGGACATCCAAGGAAGTGGGAGCAATGGGGTGGGACTCACAGAGGCCTAGCTAGGGAACTGTAGACTAGGGAAACTGAAGAGCTGAATTTGCATGCTGATTTGAACTAACAAGCTGAATGCTTGTCTGCTGTGTTCTAGCTCCTTTCCATGACTGGATATCACTTCTTATTAACTGCCCTTGTCACAAGTTGGCAGCAGAACTTTTGGAGAACTTGTTTGTATGGTTGGCTGAGTTCCCTTCCAAACATTAGGGCTATACTGAAACAGAACTGTATATATGTGTTTGATGTGCATTAGAACAGATTGATTTTTTCCCCTTCCTTAAGCAGATGCTGTTACCAAAGAGGAGGCCGGAGAAGAGGAGGAGGAGGAGGAGGAGGAGGAGGATGAAGATGACGATTCAGAAGTAAAAGAGGAAAATGGTGTTCTGGTGTTGAATGATGAAAACTTTGATACTTTTGTTGAAGGCAAAGATACTGTTCTTCTGGAGTTCTATGCCCCATGGTAAGGTTGACTCTCCCAGCATTTCCTTTGAAGTTGATTCAGACTTACTTCTGCAGATAGGTTTGCTGCTAGAAAAGCATATGCTCATTTCTCTTTTACTCAGTTTGAATCCTTAATCTTAATATGACTAAACATGACATTGTTATTATTTTTGCAGTATTTAACACTGACCTGTGTTGTTGTTGTTAGTCGTGAAGTCGTGTCCGACCCATCGCGACCCCATGGACAACATTCCTCCAGGCCTTCCTGTCCTCCATCATACCCCGGAGTCCACTCAAGCTCACACCAACTGCTACAGTGACTCCATCTAACCACCTCATTCTCTGCTGTCCCCTTCTTCTTTTGCCGTCTATTGTTCTCAGCATTAGGCTCTTCTCCAGGGAGTCCTTCCTTCTCATTAGGTGGCCAGAGTATTTGAGTTTCATCTTCAGGATCTGGCCTTCTAAAGAGCAGTCAGGGTTGATCTCCTCTAGGACTGACCGGTTTGATCGCCTTGCTATCCATGGGACTCGCAGGAGTCTTCGCCAGCACCACAATTCAAAGGCCTCAATTCTTCGGCATTCAGCCTTCCTTATGGTCCAACTTTCACAGCTATACATTGCAACTGGGAAAACCATAGCCTTGACTACATGCACTTTTGTTGGCAGGGTGATGTCTCTGCTTTTTAGTGTGCTGTCTAGATTTGCCATAGCTTTCCTCCCCAGGAGCAAGCGTCTTTTAATTTCTTGGCTGCAGTCCCCATCTGCGGTGATCTTGGAGCCCAGGAAAATGAAATCTGTCACTACCTCCATTTCTTCCCCATCTATTTGCCAGGAATTGAATGATCTTAGTTTTCTTAATGTTGAGTTTCAAGCCAACTTTTGCACTCTCCTCCTTCACCCGCATCAAGAGGCTCTTTAGTTCCTCTTCACTTTCTGCCATGAGAGTGGTATCATCTGCATATCCGAGGTTGTTGATATTTCTCCCAGCAGTTTTAATTCCAACTGGTGATTCATCTAGGCCCACCTTTCTCATGATGTGCTCTGCATACAAGTTAAATAGGCAGGGCAACAGTATACAGCCTTGCCGAACTCCTTTCTCAATTTTGAACCAATCAGTGGTTCTGTGCCCAATTCTCACTGTTGCTTCTTGACCCACATACAGGTTTCTCAAGAGACAAATAAGATGGTCTGGTACTCCCATCTCTTTAAGAACTTGCCACAATTTGTTGTGATCCACACAATCAAAGGCTTTAGCATAGTCAATGAAGCTGAAGTAGAGGGACCTATGTTCCCTCTGAATTTGGTTTTCAAATTCCAGTATCAGATCTTGGTTTAGAGAGAAATCTTCAGCTGTATTTCATGAGTGTGTGAGATTCTGAGTGCAAAATAATTTTATCTGTTTTATACTTATTATATAAGTTCACTTGGAATACTGCTAAAACCTGATGAGTTTTACTGGGTTTATTGTTTCTGGTTTTATTTTGAATCCATGTACTAGATCAGGGTTTTCTTTTCTTTCTCAGTAGTTACCTATTAGTGTTAGTATAAAAAAATGAAGACATTAGGATGCAGAGGAAAAAAGATTATTGTCTGTACTGTGCAATCATGCCAGAGGGTAAAAAGATTTCATTTAGCTGAGGGGGAAAGCAGTCCCCAGGTGGCTCATGGTCCCAGCCTGCATTCCATTTTGCTCAGAACCCAGGGCAAGCTAACTCTGCAGGCAAGAAACTTTTAACTGAAGAGTGTTTTTGCATATGATTTCTGATGCCTACCTGGAGAAGGACTTTACTGTGGTAGTACCCTAGCTTTGGAACCTGCTCCTCAGAGAGGTGCACCTGGTGCTGACACTTTATTCATTTTGGAACCAGGCCAAAACATTTGTATTTACCTGGTATTTCAAGGTTTGATAGTATTTCAAGACAGACATTTTAATTTTTTCCTTTTCTATTTTAGTTGTGCTGCTGTTGTTGTAAGCTGTCTTGATATCTGTGTGGTATAGATGGGATATAAGTGTTTTTAATTAAAGTCTTCACCATATGACTATGTACATGAAATCTAACAGGATTCCTGTCAGGTGCCTTTAATTGTATGTGCAAAACTAGAGATGTGAAGGCTTAGGAAGAAAATGCTCAACTAGAGGTGTGAGTATATCTTGATCAGGGTGGAGAATTTTGGGCTCCTGGGCCAAATCTGGTTCTCAGGGTTTCCCCAGGTGGTCCCCAGCCCCCTTTGATGGTGGTCTGGCCTTTTGACTGATTTCCTCCCATTCCAAATGATTGAAGTGCCTGTTCTGCTGCCCCATTAGTGCAGCAAGTGTTTTAAGTGGAAATTTGTTATTTTGAACTTGTCCCCCCTTTATTCATTTCTGTACTGCAGAATAGCCAAAGCTGTCTGGTAGGTTTATAGTGGTTTATAAAAAAAATAAAATTACTAGAAACAATTTAAAAGTGAGGCCCCTGCATCCTTTTCTGAAATGGAATCTGCACCTCTGACATAGGCACGCTGCCTAGCTAAGCACTGTGTTGCAGTGCAACCCGCCCTATCCTTAAAAGTGTTGTAGTTTTGCAGTAGAGTTCCGTAAAACCAGATGGTCACTGAATTCTTCCTTTTGTGCCTCCCTTCCCTCACTTCAGGTGTGGGCACTGCAAGCAGTTTGCTCCCGAATATGAAAAAATAGCCAAAGTGCTGAAAGAAAATGATCCTCCCATCCCAGTTGCCAAAATAGATGCTACATCAGCTTCTGCCGTTTCAGGCCGCTTTGATGTTAGTGGTTACCCAACCATCAAGATCCTAAAGAAGGGTCAGCCTGTGGATTATGAAGGCTCAAGAACAGAAGCAGGTAAGCAGTCCCATGCTAGTACTTAGTTTTGCATTAGCGGTAAAATAGGAATGAAGGATCTCACTTCTTTCGATACAGGCTGCTACACATGGCCTGTCATTTAGTCCACACATAAAATACCTCCCTGATGGTCTAAATAAAGGAAGCGCAGGTATTCTTTTGCATGTTACAAAGATGCATTGATGTTAAAACAATGCACATGTGACTTGCACACCATCTTTCCTTGCTTATATTGCAAAGGGCAGGCATCTGCCCATAGGGAGATGTAAGAGCTTTATCTACTCTGAGAATGTCTTCATCTCAGAGAAATTGCCAAGAAATTGCTAGTGGCATGTACATGCAACAGGCATAGGCATGCTTGATTATTTTTCTTACTGTTCAGTCTTATGCGTGTTTAGAAGTGCAGAACATTGGCTCCATCGTGCTGTGAAAGATAATGCTTAAAGCTAAGGATCTTTCATTGAAAGATCTTTAAACAGATTAATTGCACTGCTGCATCACCATACAAAAATACCCTGTGCTTGCTGGAGATTTTTCTCAACTCCCAAGGCAGTTGCAGGTGGATCTTAGCAGTGTTGGTGAGTCAGTCTAGAATTTCAAAGCAGTATTGGTTAAGAAGTACTGTACTGCAGTTGTTTTTGCAATGGCAGATCACAGCCAACTTACAGGGCAGTTTTCCATTCCACTCAGGTGGATTGCTGGGAGCAGCATGTCCAGGTAGTAGACATGGGCGTGGCTGATAATACATCTTAGGGCTTAAACTGCTGTATGCTTGGACAGAACAAAAGACCTTCAACTCCCAGCATGTCCCAGCTGACCATGCTGGCTGGAGCATGCTGGGAGTTGTAATCTTGTTCTTTTGTGTAAACTTGTATAGGATTGTGCCTGTAGTGTATTTGGTATAACAGGCAGTGTAAAAAGCCAGTCCCTCAGTGTGCTGTCTCACTGTAGCATGACTACACTTGCGGTGGGGGCAACCTGTGTCTCGCTTGTTTTGGCCTGCAAAATGGGGAGGGGTCATGGGTGTTGTAGACCAAAATATCTGGAGGACCATAAGTTACCCATCCCTGGCCTGGATAGCTCGGGATAGGCTGCATTCTTCATATCAAGGAATACTTGTAGCCTGTATCCCAGTGGTATTCCAAGTATACCCCTTTACTTCTGCACATGTGAATGAGAAGTGCTCAGCTGGAGAATATTGTGCTGAGGGCACAAAGGGTGGACAGGTTTCCTGTGCCCCGGATCAGACATGGGGTGAAGCACATGCATACAGTCCATACGTGTCACCTTGCTGCATTAGCCCCACACTGCAAAATGACATCACCTTTGTCAGTTAACAATTACTTGTTCTTTGTGACTATCACTCTCTTTAGAAATTGTGGCTAAAGTGAAAGAAGTTTCACAGCCAGATTGGGTTCCTCCTCCTGAAGCAACATTAGTGTTGACCAAAGATAACTTTGATGAAACAGTAAATGAGGCTGACATAATTCTAGTTGAATTCTATGCTCCATGGTAAGTATGTTTTAGCTATCACATCTTACTATTTCCTTTGATGCAGAATAGTGTGTTGGCTTTGTGTACCTTGCCCCAGATCTAGAATCACAGGGCATGTGCAACCTAGCTAGCCCTCTATTTCCAATTCTATGATGTGTGTCAAGCTGTTTTGTTGCTGAGGGGAAGAGAAGTGTAGTCTGTGATCTGTGTTTCTCACTGGACTGTAGCATTTATCTCTTCAGAGTTTGATCTCTTATTTGGGAAGAATTATAATAGGTTTAGCCATATATGAAACATTCACCCAGTTCTGATTTGGCTGTTCCTGCTCTGTAGTGGTAAAAATAAAAAACATGAAGTTTTCCTAGGTTTGTAACATGCATTCTAATTATGTAGCTTAAAACTTTTACTGTTTTTTAAAACGGTTCTTCAAAATAGTCCATCTTCCTTTGTGCTGTGTTTGGCGCCAGAATGCCATTCATTCAGTGAGTTAGATTTAATTGCAGATTTGAATGACCTCTGAAGATACATTTAGAAATACTTTTTAAAAGCAGGAAATACATAAACAAGTCTCACAGGGTCCATCCTCCTGAAAACTTACATTTTCCATTGGAGAAAGTACATCTCTAAATTTAATCCAGTTTTGCAGTGTGAAGTAAATGCATTTTGTAATATAAAATGACTTGACTATATCCAGTTCTTCACTGAGAAGCATGATTTAAATTACAGAGTTGAGAGCCAGTGCATTATCTTCAACTTTCCTCTTTGTGTATGTGCTTCTATATCTAGCTCAAAATGATGACAGTATACTTGAACCTTCTGCATAACCAGGATGTGTACATGGAAAATTAACATGTGGCATTCACATCAGGATTTAGAGATGTAATTGTGAAATGTATGCTTGCTCACTTTGTTAACATGTTAAAGTATTATCTTCCCCCCATCCTTCAGTTGAAAGAATAAATTCCAACAAAACTGAAAAACTGTGCTGCAAAACTTTAACACTTTTTTTCTCTCTCCCATCCTCATTTAGGTGTGGACATTGCAAAAGATTAGCTCCAGAATATGAGAAAGCAGCTAAGGAGCTTAGCAAACGTACCCCTCCTATCCCCCTTGCAAAAGTTGATGCTATAGCTGAAACTGATCTTGCAAAGAGATTTGATGTGTCTGGATACCCAACTCTCAAGATCTTTCGCAAGGGCAAACCTTTTGACTATAATGGCCCAAGAGAAAAATACGGTATGGCAAAGTGTTTTGTTTTTCATCTTTGCAATAAACCTGTGAGTCTGATCCCAGTTGTATTTGATAGATGAGAAACTGAAACTTTTGAGTTTGACTTTGCTATGAGCTACATAAATTGTCCACAGGTGACTTGGGATTTCAGCATCAATTGAAGTCTAGTGCTCTGTCCTCTTCTGCGTCTTACCATCTGCTAAGACAAATGAAAGCTACAGTCTGGAATTTCTGTTTTGGAACTATATTCCAACTATAGTTTTGAAACTACATGCTCTATGCTTTAGCATTTCTTTCTCCTACTATTTGTCCCGATTTGGAATGCTGTATGCACTCTTCATGGGCAAACAAATTATTAAGGGAGAAAAAGAGAATCTTGTTTCATATAAAACAGTTTAGCTTTCTCCATTCTGGGAGCCCTCTTCGCTCCTCCTAAACCACACAAAATCTTAGTGCATTGCAAAACGTCCTGAGGGTGCACCTTTGGTTCGTGGAGGTTGATGGCTAAAGGATTGTCAAGCCTCATCATTTTCCTGTGCGAACTGAAAGTGGATGTCTTTCTCTTCCTTGTGGTTTCACATTTTACTGGGAATGGCAGAGACTGGCAGGTAAATTTCCTTCCCAGCAGATTTGTCTGCTGCAAGCCTTGATTTTTCTGACCGAGACATCCTGCAGAGTTGTCTCAAACCACTGACAAAGATGGGTTTCATGCTTAATGCAGACAGACTAGGCTTTTTCCAGGCACAATATTTGCATGAGTAAACACAGTATTACTTATTTTTTTCATAGTGTTTCTAGGCTGCCTTTCAGGGCAGGAACTCTTACAAGGTGACTTTACAGCTGTAACACTCAGTATAAAAAAACAATGGCTACAGTAAGAAAACAGCCACCATATATGAAAACAATCAACACTAGCAAAAAGCATCCAGCCTAGACAGTATGAAAAGCCTCCTGTACAGTGTCAGCTTCAACACAGAAACGTCCACTAGTGTTGCTGCATTCATAGGAGGCAGCCAGCTATTTTCCAGATCATGGAGCTGCATATATCCCATGAAAGTGATCCTAAAGCTGCTGCCAGCTGTATTTACCTGGAAAACAAACTTCCTTTTGCTGTATGGTGTGACTTCAAAGGGGACTGCATAGGTGCCCGATAGTGAGTTCTGATTGTGTAGGCACAGAGAAGAGCAAATTTGAAGAAGTCTGGGCATGACTTTGAAACCACCTCGTGCCTGTAGATTTAATGTTTCCTTTTTCAGGTGCAGTGGGACATGTAGATAGGCAAAATGCTGATATTTAAAAATCATAGTTGTGGAGTACCGTGATGCAGTTGGCTGGTATGGGAAGCCCTTGTATGATCTGAATTTTTCTCATGATACTGAATAATGATATCAAGCCAGTGTGGGTAGTGGTTAAGAGCATGGATCTAGGACTTAGGCAACCTGGGCTCTACTCCCTGCTCAGCCATGGAGCCCATTGAGTGACTTTGGGCTAGTCACAATCCCTCAGCCCAACTTACCTCACATGGTGGTTGTTGTGGGGATAAGATGGAGAGCAGCAAGAGGAGAATGATGTAAACCACTTGGAGTCCTTTGTAGAAAAGAAAAAGGTGGGATAGAAATCTAATAAATATGTAACCATAGCAAAGCACCAAGGGAACCACCTCAAATGCACAGTAACCACACTACAAAGGTAACATGATCAGCTCTAAATATTGGGTTAACTCTGTACTCTAGAATCATACATATGTTAATCTGCTTCAGTCTGACTCAATTTGTTGTGTTTGTCCCTAAAGAATTACTTATTTGTTTATTTTTAAAGGCTTTATACACCAGTGATTTAAAAAGCTTTCATTGTTTCATCAGCATTGAAATTCAGTAACCAAGAAAACAGCAAACAGGCACTTAATCAAACGTTAAGCTGACTAGCAAGCAAACTACATTAACATTAAACATGGTTCAAAAAAGTGGTGATAAAATGCATTAAAAAGCCTGCAGGTGGAACATTAATTATTTTAAAATATACAGTCCCAAGGCACTGTATGACAGCTTGAAGACTAAATAAAGTTTTCAGTTTGTTGGAACTGCACGTTCAGGACCACATAAGGCAGGGAATCAAAATGAAATCTCAGTCTTTTTTTGGATTTTTTCTTCACGAATGCTCTTCATTTCCTGTTCATGGATTCTTTAGACGTGGTTGTGACTATGAAGATTCCATTTTTATAGAGTACTTTGGGGTGAATTTTCTTTTAGTGGGGAGAATGCAGCATTATTGTGAAAGCAAAAAACAAAAACGCAACTTCCACTTGCATATTTGAGCTATTCTGCTATTCCAGATTGCTACCCAGAAAAGGAAGAAAGAAAACTTGGTGTGATGCTTGGGACACAATTCTGTGACAAATCTGAAAGCAGATACAGCAGATTAACCACATAGTGTTGAAAAGTTGTAATTTTAAAAGGATGCTTGTAACTGCACATTTTTTCCCAAGTAGTAACATGAGATTGTGTCTTTCGCTAACAGGAATTGTTGATTATATGACAGAACAGGCTGGCCCTCCATCCAAACAAGTACAGGCTACCAAACAGGTACAAGAATTCTTGAAAGATGGGGATGATGTCATCATCATTGGGGTGTTTAAAGGAGACCAGGACCCAGCCTACCAACTGTATCAAGATGCTGGTATGCTTTTCCATTTATTTGTAAATAACTTGTCAGAATGTGCACACTGTCCACCTTCACATGAAAAGTGCTTTATTAAACCTTTAGAGTGCATAGTAGCAGGGCAGAACTTCCTTTAGCTGCTAGACATGCATAACTTGAGGAGTTAAATATTATTTTTCATATTCTTGAAATTGCAGGTCCATGGCTTTCAAATGGTGCGTTGCATCGAACTGCCTCCCCTTGATACTTTTTAGGAGTGAGGAGGCACAGTCCCTCTGCTAGTGCTAGACCAGGAACAGAAAAACAGATATAGAGGCAAATCAGAGGCAAATACATGAAATAGTGTAGAAGAGGCATTAAAAAGTGAAGAGTGAAAACAGGAGTGAATTTTAAACTTTCTAGAAGTTTAGATTCTGCTTTGTATAATCTAATAGCAAGCAACAGAAAATAGTAGATGCCTGTCTTCTTGGAAGGGAACATGCATATTATATGAAAGAACCAACAAACCTCCCTGGTTGAGCAGAAAAGAGGCAGCCTAATCTGGGAGAAGAGGCAGCCCTCCTTTGGTCAGCTGATCTCAGAAGAACATTCTAGAACTAGGAGAGAGTACAGAAGAAAGCCAGTGTGGTGGTGTGGTTAAGAGTGTGGAACTTGGGATTTGGGTTCTAGTCCCCACTTGGCCATGGAGCTAACTGGGTGACTTTGGGCCACTCACAGACTCTCAGTGCATCCTACCTCACAGGGCGGTTGTTGTGAGAATAAGAGGAGGAGAATTATGTAAGCCACCTTGAGTTCCTTGAAAGGGAAAAAAGTGGGATACAAATATACTAAATAAAAAGACTGCAAGTAAGGCTGTAATCCTATGCATGTTTAGCTAGGAAAAGTCCTCCAACTATGGCTGGCTGAGGAGTGATGGGAATTGTAGGACTTTCTAAGTATGCATAGTAATATGCTTTAAATTGTTTAGAGGGTTGGAGCACTTTTATGACTGGAGGTTAAGGCAATTTAAAAGGGGATGTAGGATAACTAAGATATGATGATGGACATTTACTGTGTGGAGAAGAGAGGTTATTTTTTCTCTTGGCCATCCAGTGAAATACATTTGCAACAAATTCAGGACAGATGGAAAGTACTGCTGTACACAGCAGCATAGCCCAGATGAAATGATGAGTCCAGCAAGACTTGGAATGATGTACTTGGCCTTCTTCTCTCTGAGTTTGGCGGAAGATGATTAAAGGTTGCTTCTTCCAGTATTGAATGTGCTGCATTTTGCCTTCCTTCAAGGGATTGTTGGGGGGCAATTTATGAGGTGTGCCCAAAGCTTCGTATAGCTTGTTCTGATAATGCTTAACCCTGGTATCTGATTGGATCAGTGCATAATTTAGCATTCACTACCACAAGGTGTGAACATGCCCATCAATCAAGAATGCCTTTTAAGAAAAAGATTAGGCATGTTCATGGAGGGTAGATCTGATAATGGGTATTAGTCTGGTGGAGCCAGGCAATAATATGTCTCTAATTATTAGGGCAGTGAGAGCTGGGGACAAACCAGGGTTGTCCTTTGTCAGCTTGCAGGGGTCTACGAAGTCCTTGATTTTTCCATTAAAATTTAGGAAGAACTGTCTTAGAAAATACTCGAAAGCAACCATGCTACCAGTTTGGTAGTAGCAGCAGGAGCCTTGGTGAGGTGGGCTGGCCTCAGGGTGGGCTAAAGTTGCCCGCCCCTGTTCTGGAGCTTCATAGGTAAGGGTACTCAGGCTGTGTAAAGTATTTGGATTGCTGAAGCAGAGATGCAAAACAGTTTCCAAACTTTTTAGGGGGGATGTTTCCCCAACTTTTCTTCATTTTTCAGCTAACAATATGAGAGAAGAATACAAGTTCCATCATACGTTCAGCAAAGAAATCATCAACTTTTTGAAAGTTGATTCTGGGAAAGTGGTGGTGATGCAGCCTGAAAAATTTCAATCAAAATATGAGCCTAAAATGCATGTTTTGGATATTCAAGTAAGTACTTAGGCCAATGTGTTATTGCAGATGGGTTAGCTCTGTTCTTAGAGGGAGCTGTTTATGTCTACTGAATGTTGATGCTCTAGACTACATTTATTTATTTATTTATTTATTTATTTATTTATTTATTTATTTATTTATTTATTTATTTATTTAAAACATTTCTATGCCACCCCATTTGCAAAAAGCCTTGGGGCAGCTTACAAATACCATTCGCACAATTAACCTTAAAAATTTTGGAGACATTTCGGCACAATATAAAACCCAATAAATAATCAGTTAACAATTAAAATAACTTTTAAATAAAAAGGTCTTGGCCTGGCGCCAAAAAGCAATAATGATGGCACCAGGCAGATCTCTCTGGGGAGCGCATTCCATAGGTGGGGCGCCACCGCAGAGAAGGCCCTCCTCCGGGTACTCACCCTCCTAATATCTTTCACGGAGGGTTCCTGGAGGAGGGCCTCTGCTGCCGATCTCAGGGGGCGGGAGGGCATATATGGACGCAAGCGCTCCTTTAGATAACCAGGTCCCAAGCCGTTGAGGGCTTTATAGGTGATAACCAACACCTTGAATTGGGCCCGGACTTCAATGGGAAGCCAGTGAAGCTGATGGAGGACTGGGGTTATATGAGAACAAGGCCCAGTTCCCGTCAGCAACCTGGCAGCTCTGTTTTGCACCAATTGAAGTATCCGGACTGTCTTCAAGGGCAGCCCCATGTAGAGCGTGTTACAGAAGTCTAATGGGGAAGTTACCAGTGCATGTGTCACTGTTGCCAGGCAATCGTTCTCCAGGTAGGGGTACAGCTGCTGGATCAGCGGAAGCTGAAGGAAAGTGCTCCTCGCCACCTCCATCACCTGAGCTTCTAATGACAACTCTGGGTCGAGGAGCACTCCTAAGCTGCGAACCCTGTCCCTCATAGGGAGTGCAACCCCATTCAGGACAAGGTCCAGGTCTTCCACCCCAAAGCGCGACCCACCTACCAACAGGACCTCCGTCTTTTCTGGATTGAGCTTCAGTTTGTTGGCCCTCATACATCCCATTACCTCAGCCAGGCACCTGTTCAGTACAGCCACTGCCTCACCTGGATTAGTTGAAAATGAGAGGTAGAGCTGGGTATCATCAGCGTACTGATGATTCCGCAGCCCACCCCTCCCAATGACCTCTCCCAGTGGTTTCATGTAGATGTTGAATAGCAAGGGGGACAAAATGGACCCCTGCGGAACTCCATGGCATAACTGTCATGGCGCAGAGCCATAGTCCCCCAGCACCACCTTCTGGAATTGGCCATTGAGATAGGAGCAGAACCACTGCAAAGCAGTGCCTCCAACTCTCAATCCCGCTAGCCTATCCAGAAGGATACAATAGTCAATGGTATCGAGAGGTCCAAGAGAACCAACAGGGACGCACTCCCCATCTCTCTGCCACCACCTGCTCTAACACCTTGCCCAAGAACGGGATGTTGGCCACCAGTCTATAATTGGCGGCCACCTCTGGATCCAGGGATGCCTTCTTTAGGACTGGCCGGACTACCACCTCCTTTAAAGGGGCAGGTACCCGGCCATCCCTTAGAGAGGCATTGACAACCTCCAGGATCCAGGTCCCTATCCCATCCTTGGCTTTCTTAAGTAGCCAAGATGGGCAAGGGTCCAGTAAGCAGGTGGTAGGACGTACTTGTCCAAGCACCTTGTCCACATCATCAGGCCGCAACAACTGAAAGTCATCCATCAATTTAAAATCTGGGGGACCGTTTCCAATAAATACAGAGGTATTTTTACACTGGTCAAGATCAAATACTGGCCTATAGCTGCAGTTCCTCCTGCTCCTTCAGGATGGACTTGCTTCTTTTATCTGTTCCTTGAGTTGCAGGGGCTATGTGTGAACATGATGGAAAAGCTCCTAATGGTATAGACTTGGCTCACAGCTTTAATGAAACTGTATTGTATGTATGTGCTAACTATTGGAGCAAAACATTCCCCTAGATTTCTTCCTGTTGGAATGCCTGTTGCCAAGGGCCATTAGGTTGGCAAGCCCCATGAAGGGGGTTTTTCTAGTACATTCATATCTATGTAATGCGCTTCAGTCAGGAATTCAGGTGTTTTGTAGGCTCTTAGGAAACCTCTGCAAACCGACCCCTAGTTGTTGATGTGTTTTCCTTAAAGCGTGTTTGTGCTTTTAGTTGTGATTGCTGGCATAGATCATTTCTATTGATTTTTCCATTTTAATGTGTACGTTACCTTGGCAGAATTTCATCCTTGGAGGTGGTGTACATATACGATAAACAAGTAAATGACAAACGCTTTCTCCACAAGGTCAAGTTGGTTGAGAGCTCTGGCAGCTTGAATGAGCATGTGAGAGTTCCCAATATGCCCACTTGAAGCAAAGTTGGAGAATTTCAAGATGACAGATGTATACAATCTGAGCTATTCAGTTGTGGGGGAGAGCAAGCTTGGAAAATGGCAAATGGCTTTTAGCTAGGATCCACTAAAGAAAAATGTCCGTGGGGAGAGTTGTTTAGAAACCCTACTTGGAGAGGCAGAATGTATGTAGTTGTTCAAATTACAGTGGTACCTCAGCTCAGGAATGCCTCAGTTCACGACCAAATCAGGTTGTGAACATAAAATTCAGAAAAAACTTGCCTCAGGTCGCAAACTCTGCATCTGGTGGCGATTGCGAGCTCAGGTGTCTTCCCTGCATGATCACAGTCAGGGGAGGGGGGGGGAGATGGCCGCAATTGTGCTCGCGGGGGAGGGAGATGGCCACGATCATGCCCGTCTTCCCTGCCCAAGTACGACCACAATCGCGCTCTTGGGGGGCAGATGGCCACAATCGTGCTGGGGGTGGGAGGAGATGGCCAAGATCCCAGTTGCACTCGTGCAGGGAAGACGGGCGCAATTGCAGTTGTGCTGGGAGGGGCGGAGGTGGCCGGGATCTTTTTGTTGTTACTTTGTTTCAATTTTTGTGATTAAAAATGGTTACAGAATGGATTAACCTTATTTACGTTGAACCTTATGGAGAAATTTGACTTGGGTCACAACCAGTTTGGGCCGCGACCAGAGTCGCGGAACGGATTAAGTTGGTGAGCCGAGGTACCACTGCATATGCTGCATTCTGGTATAAATAGCGTTCAAAGTGGTCAAAATATTAAAATAGAAGGTCGAATCAAAATTGTAATTAAAACATATATGCAAGTTGGTGATGAACATATTAATAAAAAAGAAACTGCACCAACTAGTTGAAGCCTACTTCAGCACTCATGTTCTGGAATAAACTGTTTTACTTCCCAATCTCTTAGAACTGAGTTCCCACAATGTAGCAAGAACCTGCTGCCCAAGCTGTATTGCAACAGTTGTAGGAAATGCAACATGATATCCTGAATCTTTTAATTTAGGATTGGGAAAGTTTTTTCCCTTCTGCAGGCCACATTCCCATCAAGGAAATCTGTGTGGTTATGTGTGTTGAATGGGTGGGTGGGTGAAATACCAGTAATAGGCTGGACATGTACAAAAGCTATTTTCGTACTGCTACTTTCTCTTGCATGCATGATTATGTTCCTTCCTGACCCAACTATTCCTCTTTCTTTATCTTCCACCCTTCTTGTCCCGCACAGCAAGAAGCTTTATTCTTTTCTAAAAAACCAAGTTCACTGATACTTTTAAAAGAGTCATCCCATCCCAGCTGTTTCCTTCCTGAAAACTGCTCATTGCAGCAGTAATTGAGTTTTTGCAGGATTTCCATCGGCAGCTTAATAGGAGCAGAATTGCTGTGATGGGGATGCTGTGGGCCAGACAAAGAGGCCCCCTTGGTGACTTCTAGGCTGGAAATCCCATGGAAACTATTCATATATTAAACTTACGTGAGATTCCTTAGGCTGAACAGTGTAAACTATTTTCAATGAAGGTCATAAACAGTACAGTTCTACAGGTGTTCTTTAAGTCTAGATCAGTACATAAATGATGTTCTGTGAAATGTGAACTCTTTCTGACATCACATCCACTGGATCTATTTTTTGTTACTCTAAACAGGAATCCACTGATGTTGATAAAGTGAAAAGCCATGTTTTAAAATACGCCTTACCTCTTGTTGGTCATCGTAAGACTACCAATGATGCTAAGAGATACACTAAGAAACCTTTGGTGGTCGTTTACTATACTGTAGATTTCAGTTTTGATTATCGTGTTGGTAAGTATACCTAAAAATTATCACCTTTTAAGAGCCTTGTACAAAACAAACAAGAAATCTCTAACTTCATTGTCTGCCTGTTGTCTTTAGCTACTCAGTACTGGCGAAACAAAGTATTAGAGGTGGCTAAGGACTTTCCAGAGTATACTTTTGCAATTGCTGATGAAGACGACTATTCTTCCGAGATCAAGGATCTTGGACTGATAGACAGTGGAGAGGATGTAAATGCTGCCATCTTTGATGAAGGGGGCAAGAAATATGCCATGGAACCAGAAGAGTTTGATTCTGATGTGCTGAGGAAATTTGTTCTGTTATTCAAAAAAGGTAAGTTGTGATTGGGTTGTAAACAACTTCTTGTTTTATTTTGGGTGTAGAGTAATTGGCCATATGTAATCATTCCTTGTGGCTAGTACTTCTCCCAGAAGTACAAAAAACCTATGGTGTAACATTGTAAAGAGAATGCTAACTCCCAGCCTTCTGACTGTCAGACAGGTGAAGTAGGAGCAAAATTCCTTGGAACATCCTATTCTGTTCTTTGCATGCCTGATGATTGGTATTCTTACCTTCATTAGAACCAAGCAAATTGTCACAAATCATGAATAAGAATTTGAGTTCTTCAGAATTCATGAAGCTGCATATTTAAGCAGAAAGAAAGGAGTTGGGAGGGAAAAATGACATTACTGTGGATTAACATGTTCTAACGAAATGCTGTGAAAGATATTTGCTGACATGCTGAAAGCATGTGCTTCACAAAGGTTATAACTTGTGTCTTGCTTTAAGGCACTAAAATAATACTATAATTAGGCTAATAAATTCTGTAGGCTAATTCTGCAAATTTAATTATACGAAACATGGTTTTTGCGTGACAGTGTTCTTTGCATTTCCATTCCTAGGTAAGCTGAAACCCATTGTGAAATCCCAGCCAGTACCAAAAAATAACAAGGGTCCTGTGAAGATTGTTGTTGGTAAAACATTTGAATCCATAGTGATGGATCCGAATGCGGATGTTCTCATTGAATTTTACGCTCCCTGGTGTGGACACTGCAAGAAACTTGAGCCCATCTATACTGAGCTGGGTAAAAAATACAAGAACCAGAAAAATCTGGTCATTGCCAAAATGGATGCTACTGCAAATGATGTCCCCAGTGACAAGTACAAAACAGAAGGATTCCCCACCATCTATTTTGCTCCGAGCAACAAAAAGAAGAATCCTATTAAATTTGAAAGTGGGGAAAGAGATTTGGAGAGCTTGAGCAAATTTGTAGAAGAACATTCTACCAAGCTAAGCAGGACGAAAGAAGAACTTTAGGTGCAGCGAGGATCATGTTTAACAGGGTCATTGCAAAGTTACTGAAAGGTTGATTGGGGGAACAGTGCAGCGTCTGGAGCAAAGGGGATTTGAGGTAGCAAAACTGCAGTATGAGATTTTTGTATTACAAAACAAATCTGAACACTGAACTTTTTGATGTGAATGTTTTTTATTAGTTTACTGGTTTTGATTGGTGGAAAAATATATTTTTTGTGACTGACTTGAACTTGATTTTTTCTCCCTATTCCAAAGCAAAGCTTTTATAATACCTTAACAGTTATCAAACAAATCTTGGCCAAACAAGGTTGTGTCTCTTTATTAGTATTAAAATGGGGAAGTATAACTAAGAATTGGTTCTTCTGTGCTTTGCCAGACATGTGGCAGTTTATGCTTCCAGGTCTTTTACTTTGTATGTCTTCATTCAGAAAAATAATTCTAAATGAAAGTGGTGTCTGTGCCTTATTTTAAACAATCACAGTTCCTATGAAATTTATTTTTCATGTAAGGACTGAGGCAGACTGAGAGCACTCATCTGGCATGAGTAAGGGTAAAGGTGATCCCTTTGCTTTTTTCTCTTGGCAGGAAGAGGGAAAGGCCATTACTGGCTCTGCAAGTTTGGGGGGGGGGTCCTATGGAATGGCAGTTCTAATTTAGTGGAAGCACGATAGGCAAACAGATTTATGTCTGTTTCTTTTATGGAAAGGAAAAGTGGTAGCACTGAGAAAGCAGTGGCCTTCTGTGTTTGGCCCCTGACAAATACTCAGCTTAGCTACCCTCTGCATTCATGCCTCAGAGTGGGAAGAAAAGGATTTAGAAGAACTTGAACAGGAATATTCCCTCTGAAGGAATGGTTGCAAAGCCATTCCAGATGGTTTTAACACAGACTACATTAAACCTCCTTTTAAAAATTAGCATGCTAATTCCTAAAACCTGAACACAAGTTCATACAATGTTGCCAGTTGTGCTGAATTCCAGTGTGTTTGATGCTCCCTACCCCCACAACAGATTCCTGATCTTACACTACACTGACAGTTCTATCACTCCTATATAAAAAGTACCACTAAGCTGCATTTTCCATAAATTTTAAAATCTTAATTTTGTACTGATTCTGTTTCAGCGTATTGCTTTGCTCCTTTTCTTAGTTATGCTCACAACATTGGAATCCCTTGTCCAAAATTCCAACCTCCACACTGCACTGCTTCTCATCTTCCTCCAATTCCTCTGTGCCCATCTCCTTTTGGTACTTCTCCAGTTTTATTTTCCCTGCCTTCTACTATCAACAATCTTACATGCCAGTTCCTCTTACTCTTGTGTTCATGTTTCTTTCCATCCCTTTTCGTGAATATGAAATCTAGTTCTTTTCTCTCCCTTACCGGAAAATATGTCTTCCCAAAAGCCCACATGATTGATCTACTGCTTAATTTTCTTTGTACCGTTATAAGAGAACATTCCCCACAATTGAAATGCTCTGCAGTCTTTATCATGAGCAAACCTACCAAGCCCTATTGAAAGGCTTTTCTATAGTAAACCATATTTTTATCGCAGTGGCATAAGATTTTCCTAAAGAGATTTCTTCATCTAGAATCCAGGTTATTTCAAAAACATCTGTTAAAATATTTGATCTGTTCAGTGGCTTAGAAATGTACAAATAGAATGTTCTGCAGGTGTGCTGTCCAAAAACTGCCCATAATCTAATTGCTCTCCCCCAATTACAGAATTCTTCCTCGTACTAGTATGCATCTAAGGAAAAGAAAAGCCACAAGAACTAAGACTGGAATCTGTGAAAATCTCGTTGGGCAGAAAGGAGTACAAAAACTGGCTGACTCCAAGGCTGCCCTTTTGGGTAGTGTTGCATGCTTCTCTGCAGCTAGAAAGTTGCAGGACATCTGGATGATAACAGAAATGATGGCGGGAAGGAGGAGCAGAGAGCAGCCTGTGGGAGCATAGCAAGCAGTGGCATGTCTGTTACTAGGCAGAGATGGATGGTAGAGACTGGATGGCTGGAGGGGCTCCTAGACTGGCCACCCTGTTCAGGGCATTTTGTGGTAGCTGAATATGAAGATTGTGAAAACCATGATTCTGGATTCAGATATCCCAAGAAACCATTATGGTATGCAGAAACCATAGATCAAAGTTGGTATCATGCTTTCTAGAGGCCAATACCCCTATTGGATTCAGACAACAGGACAGACAAATGGTAAAAACCCACCATGGCTTCTCATGTCATGCAAACCCAGTCAATAGGAATAAGGGCAATGGAAGGCAGAGCAGCCTTGATTATGTAGGAGTCTCATTACAGATGGAGATTCTGTTTTCTTTATATACTTTTCTAAATAATGAAACTTGCACTTCCCTGAAATTGGAATATGTGCATACAACCTGATGTAAAACCTTCCCCCAGAATAAATTAATTACTACTACACCGTGAATGAACATTTTAAGTCACTGAACATATATAAACATGTTGGTTAAAAGGGGAAGTGATCCCTATCTGTTGAGTTGCAGTGATGGGAAAATTAAATGCCTGTTGATGTTCTGTTTTCAGGATGGATAGGCCATACTTCATAAAGTTCTTTATTCTCCTGTAGGCACCATTTTTTCCTTTCCCCGCTGATACACACACAATATTGATTGGGTTCAGATAACATGATAACCTATATTTAAGGGTCAAGCATTGACTGAGTGTGGGCTGTCACTGAACCATGAATTATTGTCAAAACATGATTATTGTGTTGTCTGAACCCAGAAGAGATCACACACCGTGGCTGGTTAACCATGAACAACCTATGAAGAGAACCCATGGTTTGTTGTCGGGTTGAGAACTTTGGGTAGTTCAGCATGGTTTATTGGCTGCATTTAGACTACAGGATAACCCACTTTTCAACTTAACTCATACTCCTTGAGTGCAGGTTATCCTGTTCTCTAAATCCAGTCCATCTATCTGCCTCTAATGCTACCTTTCTTTTCTGGTCCTCAGCAAAAAACCCCCTCAGCATTATTGTATACTTTAGGTGATAGATAACTCTACTACCTGTGTACTATGCACTTCCTTATGAACATGCAACATGTTTGAAAAAGAGGCTTCTGTTTACAAGAACAAGGTAGTCACACACTCTGAATAAACTGAGGATGATATATTTATGGCAGTTGTCCATATGTGCTGCTTCTTAAACACACCTTTCCATTTCAAAAATTACTGCAGTTACCAGGAAGCACCTGGCAGATGAACAGCCTGTGCATCTTTTGTACAAAGTGTAACTGCTCCCTTCCCTTCTAAAACCTCAAAATTTGCAAAGGGCAATTGATATTACAGGAAAATATGCAAACATAATTGCTAGAATATGCATGTATTGTCTCCCACCTCAGCAATGCCCTGTTAGGGAGAGTTAACCAAGCAAAATAGTGTGCCTTGCTCTTGCCTTAGGTTTGTGCCATAGGTGTTTCATTTTGCTTCCCCATTTCCAACCAATCTGGAGAGCACCTAGAGCAAACAATAGGGAACCTTTCCAGACGAAAGCTTTTCTTAAGCTCTTTCCCTGACTTTAAGTTGAATTTCTTGCAAACTGATGTCTTATTTTTCTCCTTTTAGTTCCATCAAACTAAACTTTGAACTTGAGTTGCCTGTAAAACTAGGGATTCATGACCAGACATCCTGTCTACCATAATGTGTGACCTTTTGGTCAAAACTGACAAACACAAACGCATACATATGTGCAAGATTTTGTACTGTGGCATTAAAACCCCCAACTAAATAGAAAAATGACAAACTGTTCTGCTCCTTCACAGTGTCTGTCAAAATACATGGGCTGGGGGTGGTGGGGGAGAGGGGGAACCTGGGGCACAGGATACTGCACACTGGTTAAACACCAATCTGGGATGCAAAGAGTGAGGCTTTGCCATGTCTTGTAGGTTGTCTGACTTTGCTCTACTCATTCTTGGTGACACAGAAGCTAGTTTCAGGTTTCATGGAGCTCTCACCAAAATCAATTTTTCACATAGTACTTGGTATGGTATTTATAGTATGGTATGGTATTTTCTTACCTCACCACTATCATTCTTGAATTAACGAATGCCAAATTGTAGATTTCTTTGAAAAAGTATGGGTTTCCCCCCTTAAAAATGTAGAAGTATCTGGTTAAGGCATAGATGCAAGCCACCAAAACAAAGTTTTAACAAATGAAGAAACAAGCGTATGGTGATTGCTTGAGGACTTTTCACAATTGGTGTATTCTGTTCTACATGCATAGTTACTGAGGTTATCTTGAAAAACATCCCTGTAAGAGATGGATGTTCATTCTACAGAAATGTATATTGGTAGTGTGTCAATTACACAGGGAACCAACCTATTCTCACATTCATTAGCTACTTAGCCTCTCTCCTTTAAAACAAGGCATATCCTTTTCTGCACACCGAAACCTGTGTGAGTGCAATAAGCCATTCAAATGTAGCAAAACACTTCATAGTGAGATTCTCACTTTTGCATATTTTGGATTGCACTTCCAATAGATTATTTAAAAATTGCAACTTTGTAGTCGGTTTCTCTTCTTATAGCAGCACGATGACAATTAAAGAAAAAGAAAAGACTAGTCAAGTGCAGCAGTGGGGAGGGGGGAAAGAGAGAACAAGGAGATCGATCTGTAACTGACTGTGAACAATCAATTGAAATTGAAATGACCCACTACCATCGGACCAGCCCGAATATTTTGTCGTCTTACTCTCCTTTTATATGTCTCATATTTCATATTTTTTAAAGATATGACGACTGCTCTCTTTTTTCCAGTATTTTCGAATAATATATGAAGATCTTTTCAATTCCTTATTATTAATCAACAATATATACTGTTTGTACCACAAAAATCGTACAAGGGGAAATCTATGTGAGTGCCCTGGTGCATGTTGGGAAGCCAATATGCAAAAACCAAGGACTGTTGCAATGGGTGTACCGCAATAGCTGAGCAGATGCAAGTGGTGCTTTATATATTGTATTGGGTGCTTTATATATTGTATTGGTTGTTGATATAACGAAATGAGCTGCTAGTCCAGTGAGACATGCCGCTGCTATATTAACTTCAGGCAGTACCTGATGTTTGCTGTCTCCTTGGAATGGGAGGGCTTTGCAAAATAAGCACATCCCTTTGCAGCCTTCCTCAAATGTATGGAACTGCAGCATTTTAGCTTTAAAACTCTCAGTGTCAGAAAAAACGCTTCATTCAATTTACTAACTTCCTGTTGGTGTCTTGTTGAGATTTCCAGCAAAAGATGCTTCACACCAGAAAGCGCCTCCGTTTGTGACGAAGATAATGTTATTTGCATTTCTAAGTCCACCTTTCCACGTCCCTTGCCGCCTCCGTTTTTCCCCGCTTACTTTCACGCTGTGTCTTTTGTCAGTGCGTCGAACAGTGCAAGTCTGTGCACCATGTTTCCTCAGGAGTAAATCCAGTTGTGTGGGACTTCTTTCCAATTTGGTAGGTAATTGCATCTTCATAGCATAAAATAGAGATCCCAGATTGCTAAACCTGGAAGCCAAGGAATGTGTGCCTAATCCGCTTAGGTCTACACTTTATGAGTGCAGTAGGGTGCCCTGGGTGCAATACCATTTGGAAAGAGCAGCAAAAGTATAAATCGAGCATTTTTTTCAGTATAGAACAAATGAGTACATTTTCAAAATACTAGGTGGAAAGCTGGACAGCGACTTCTTCCCAAACATAGCGCAACAGACCAGGCAGATTGGCATAATTACAACCTATCACTGGCCTTGGCTGTGCAGACTTCTTACTCTAACATTAAATCATTTTGGAGAGGACTAAGAAAATCAGGGTCATATGATATTGGAAGGAGTCAGTAGGGCTTTCTTTTTAATTTTCTGTGTGATTAGTGGGTTCTCTTTTGTATCTGCAAACAGGTTCTGAATAGAAGCACTCTCTGTCCAAGCGATGAGACCTTGAAAATGATCCATAATTTTCAACTAACACCACTGAACCCAGCAAACAGTGCTGCTTACTGAGGACATCTGTTCTCTGAGAATTGCACCAGCTGCTGGTTTCTACCTCCAAGACCATGTTCATGGTATCTGCATTTTTAAAGCCCTTACTCCCTTGGAACAGGATATATGGGAATGGTTCTTCACTATGTAATTGTAAATTTACTGGTGTTGGCCAAGATAGGTTTTTCTGTTACAACTCCAGTATTGAGGGGAAATTTCTTCTTCTCAGAAGAAATAAGGCAAGATCATTTTACTTAGATGGTAGCGATGACTATTTCATTTCTATACTGCCCATTAGCTGAAGATCTCTAGTGGTTTTAAACAGGACCATAATATAATAAAACTTTAACAGCATTCCAAGTACAATATTTAAAACAGAATTACAACTAAAGCAATATTGAATGAACCCAACCATTGAAAAACCTGACTCAGGTATCCCCATGCCATAGAGGGCTGACTTATGGTGGCACCAAAAGGATAGAGTTGGTGCCTATTTAGGGAAATCTTCCTGCAGTTAGGGAACCAACACTTAGAAGGCTTTCCTCCTAATTGCCATCCTCTCAGCCTCCTTTGGAAAGGACCCTCATATGTGAATCATAGTGTTGAGGCAGATTGCAGTTGAGAAAGGCACTGTGGTATTAGGGGGTTTTCTTAACTGGTGAATGTGGAGTTGCAGCTGCTGTTTGAAATTATTTGATTGTCTTTGTTGTTTCTTTGGTTTTATCATTTTAGCTGTTATTTTATTAGTTATATTGTGTCCTGCCTTGATAAAAATTTTACTGAAAGGATTGATTTGTCTAATTTGGGTAAATAAAATAATTCAACCCCTGCCTCCCCTCCCCAAGGCAGAACTTTACATTTCAGTTCCTAACTTAGCATGAAATATACCCTTCCAAAATAAATGACACTCTAAAATTGCTTTTTGAGAAATAGTTTAGTAGAGCGAATTTCATGCATAACTGGTGATGATATTCTGAAAGCACACAGATGCTCTGGGGGGGAGAGAGAGAGAGAGAGAGAGAGAGAATCTCCTCTAGGGTATCTTCAGGTAGGAGCAGATAGAGCTCAGGCTTGCAGGATCTACTTTGTGCCTAAAAAAGTACAAGTGTGAAATACCAATCAGAGCTTGGTGCAAAAACCCAGGGATGATAAGAAACTGAAGGAAGCTCACTTCCACACACAAAAATCACTCTCGTTCACTCCAAGTTTTCTCCATTTCAGTAGCATAATTTTGGGTACTGCGTTGTTGATCTTGCTACTGTACATACTTTGGAGTCAGAATGACTAGGGCAAATGATCACAGAGCCTACTCCTCTGTCTGAAAGGAAATGACAATATATCTGATTTACAGTTTGCATTACGGTCATTTCTTCGAATATGATTCTTAGAGAAAGTGTTCACCAGCTCCAATGTATAATTGAATTCTAAGGTTCTGAGATCGAAGAACAATAAAGTCTGGGAATAAGAAAACTGAATTTGGGGCAAGAAAACTTCGGTCTGCCGTAAGGTCGCCTGTAGACCAGGGTGCGAGCGAGGGCTCAGGCCTGCTCCTTGTCTATCTCTGGACAAAAAGCAGCGCGGGAATCCAGCTCGGGATCGCGACCCTGGCGTGCTCCAGGTCACGTGTAGGCAGGCGACCGGGAGATGGCCTGGCCGGGAAGCGGGGTGGCGGCGGCGGCGGCAATAGAGGCAGCATAATGGGAATCGCTCGAACCAGCTGGAGCGGAGCTCTGAAATATAGCCAAATTGACAAAGGGTAAGAGAACAGCAAAAGAACAGCGCATTTCCCGGCCATCCTATGCATGCTTAGATAGAAAAAAACAATCCTACAAATCCAGGAATGCACTATCCAGGCTGGCGCATGCTGGGCGTTTGGAGACTGTTTTTTTTTTTGGCTCAAGGTGCATAGAATGACGCGTAACTTCACTATTCCCCCCCCCCTTTGTGTTATTATAGAAACCTAAAATGTACACGAACAATGTAAACCTTACTCATAATTACTCCCCCGCTTTTTCTTCGTCGTTTCCTCCATCTCGTGTTGCCTCCTCTCTCCGTCAATTTGGATCGTTAGATCTCTAGGACACTAAATGAATGGAAGCGCTTAAACTTTGCTTCGACTGGATCAAAGGAGTTTCTCGTTTTCTTTTAAAATCTCTAATCCTCTCACCCCATATATATTTTAATATTGTTAAGCTACAAAACTGCAAGCAGATGCATCATTTTCAGGACTGTACACAGTCCATGTATGCTAACAATTATTCTGCCAAAGTAAGACACTTCAAAGACCTCTTTTATTTCTGCTGAAGACCTTTCCGTGCGGCTTTATGCGCTATTTGCGACCTTTCATGTGTGCATTGATTTTTCATTCTAGAGCATGAGGGAGGGGGTTTTCTTTGTGCGTGTGAAACATCATTCAACAAAAGAAAATCTTTGGTGGTTCAAATATAGATGTAAATAGATGTATTTTAAGATTAACATAAACGGGCATTTAAAATAATTGGGCGCTGAAATCTAATGTCAAAATTAAAAGACTAGTCAAGTGAAGCAGTGGGAGTGGAGAAAGAACAAAGAAACCTGTAACTGACTGTGATCAATTAATTATAAATACCACTGCATTCGGACCAGCCAAAATAAGTCAGCCTCCCAGAAAGTATATAGAGCTGTAATAATTTTGTGCCTTTTGATTATGGCTAATACTTTTAAAGTCAGGTCTGCATATTAATGCAGTGCTTGTAATTCTCTTGTTTTCTGTTTACCGTAAGCATGTAGACGTTCAATAAACCGAAAAGGCCTGTTCTCTTTTAGCTCCTGTGCCAGAGATAACAGAATGCAATGTTGCATTATGGGTATACTGTATGCAAATAAAAACGCCTCTTTGCAAATCAAAAGACTTCAAGAGGCCTCACGCTGTCTGCCTGCTAGTCTGTTAACTCATTAAAGAAGCGTGGCTTCGATTGGGCTGAGACGATTTGCAGATGTCGGAAACGGATACGATCAATCGCGTAAGAAATAAAATCAGCCGAACGCTTGTTTGGGGATGACACAGTCAGAAGACAAGCAGGTCTTTAATGCTGAGAATAGGCAGAATCGACTGAGGAAGCCAACGCAGATATGCAAGCCTTCCCTTCACCCGTTTCTTTTCTTTCTTTTTATCACTTACGGCACAAACCTATGCATGTTGAAACGGAAAAAAAATACAACTCCGAGCATGCCCCGCTAAATGCATAGGATTGCATTCTTAAGGTGCAAGAAAAAAAAGGCTTACAACTCCCAGCATGCCCCCAAATCGGTTTATAACTCCCAGTTCCTTGGTATTTTATTGGGATTCTGTGGTGATTTTGTTGTCTGTACTTGTATTTCCGCTAATCTTTAAACTCCCTTGGAGGCTGTTTTGACTGAGAGGTGGGATAAAAATCTTGTAAATAAAGAAGTCAGCTACCCACTAGCGTGACTTGCTGGTCGTAAAAGGAATAGAGCAGAATGTACTTATAAATATCAAGACGTCTAGAAACTAAAAGATGGACCTTTGACAACGCTGACGAGGTGTTTGTCTTTTAGTATGGGCAGAATGTAACTCAGTTCAATTGCATCACAAAAGCCAGTATTTTGAAGTCAGCTATGAGGTCATCACAATCTGTCAGGGAGGTGACCAGCAGATTCCTGCAGCAGGGTTTCCCTTCTGAGCTCATGGCTGGGCAGGGTCCATGGCCAGCACAAGAAGGAAATGACCAAGAGAGAGACTGGAAACTGAAGAGAGACTGAAGTGAGCAAAAGTAAGAAGGCACATTCCAGAAATGGTCAGTGTCTGCTTGTGAAGTCTGATCCATTCAAATGTTATGGTTTCCTCATAAAAGCATCCATGAAATGACTCTGCTTGGAGGGCCACTGAAAGTGCTTCAGAAATGCTTCACGTGATCGGTCCCACCATATGGTAAGTAGTTTGTAAACAAAATGGCTTCTTCTTCAAGTGTTTTGTGATGTGAGTACTGCAGGAATTTTGAAGCAGCAGGAGGCCAAATGTGGTCCTTAGGCAGGAACAATCTAACACATGCTACTGCTTGAGACAGGGGGCAAGATGGCGCTTTTCCCACGTGCAGAAGAATGCTGGACTGGCAGGTGAATCTCACTTCAGCACTGCAGCATGAGAGTCACCCTATATACCAGGAGAGACACCATCTTGGTCATTTCCATTTTTCTGGTGAAAAAGTAATTGTATCTGTTAGCACAAAGCTGTGATGTTGGTATTGCTCCTTGCATTAGTATAATGCAATAACCTTTTTAAAAACAGTACAAAAGATGATATATTGGTCCTGGTACCATTGGCTTCCATTCTTTGTAATGATTGAAGCAGAAATGTATTTGACTTTTAAAAATTCTCCAACATTCCATGCATTGGTTTCAATGCATTTTGTCAAATGGCAGTTTGGAAATACCGCTTTGAGTATTAGGGCTTTTTTTAAGTCAAGGCAAGAAAGCAAACGTTATTGTTAGAGAGAGAGCGAGGGTGAAACATGAAAGGTGACATCAGACAATAGTTACTTGGGGGCTTTCTTAGCAGCTTAAACAAGTTGCTTAATCATAAAGGCTACTGTAATTTTTAATATGTGTTTTAATTTGGCTTTACAATTGGTATGACCTTTTTATGCTTGTATTTATGTGCTGTAAACCTCCCAGACGGCTTTGGCTATTGGGTGGTATAGAAATTTAATTAATTATAATGATACTAATATAAAGAAGAAAATATATAAGTTGTTTCAACTGCCATTCCAATCAGGGATATGATGATAATGGATTTGGCTGGCATGAATATTATTAATTTGCATGTAAAAATTGCCTTATTGTATCATCCTATTTATCCAACAAAGAGAAATGGCTAGAACTGTGATAAGCCCTATCCACATTGGTTATGGCTAGTTCCACACGGGCTATTGTTTCAGCCAGTCAAGAATTTAGGAAAACCACACATGGTGAGGTAGTAGGAATATGGCATAACTTGTTAAACAGGGATATGGTCATCTCCTCTTAGTCCTTCCAATACTTGTTTGAGGCAGAGTGGTCACAGGTGTTGGATGTATTCATGCAGGTAGATGCCTTACATCACATATTACCACTTTGTTGGCTGGAGAATAATTTCCCCTATTTATTTCTCAAAGACTTCAATAGAGAACTGAGAGGACAGTCTTCATTAACATGCACAGTCCTACAATTCGTAGCATCCTTTCACAGCCGCACTGCCTGAGCCATCCTGAGAAGCGTTGGACTGTTTTCTGTTTAAACATGCATAGGATTGCAGCTTTACTCCATAGTCACCTACTGTGTGTCAGCTGGGGACACACAGTAGTCAGAGTAGTGCCTCAGAGTGGTGATCTGAGAGTAAATGTAGGGACATGTGAAGAGAGGCAATCCTTCAGATACTGAGACTTGAAGAATTTTGATCAAAGCCAGCATGTTTAATTGGACCCAGAAAGGGACCAGGGACCAGCACTAGTATAACAGGATCATATTGTCTGGTCTGAGTTAGCACTCTTTCAGCCCTATCCTGTAGCAATGGGAGTTTCCAGATGGCCTCAAATGCAGTCCCAGATTCAACACATTTCAGTAATCTAAACAGATGGCTATCAGCAAAGGTAGGGTCATAGCTAGTAGGAGACACTTTGTAAGGACAATGATGGCTCAATTTGCACCCACAAAGTGTGAACTTTGCTCTTCACAGAGAGTGCAGCCCCTTCCAGAACACCTTGAAAGGCTTGGTTTGGGTGGACAAAGTTTCCAGTAATACAGCAGTGGGGAATCTCCAGTCCTCAGAGGATGTGGGCCCTGCCTAGTCTTGGGGAGAAACTGGGGAAAAGGATCATGGTCTGGGAGAACAAGGGGATTCCCCTGACTTAAGCGCCTGCTTCCCTTCCCATTTGAGAGCACAGGGAAACCCCCTTGTTATCTCCAGTTACAGAGAACAAGGGGATTCCCCTTACTGAGCATATTGCTCTGAAGTTAAGTGCTTCCCAAAGGGGAAAGTCATGGGGTTGAAGACGTTGGCCCTGTCATAAGCCTTTCCCAGTTGAAGTGGCAGCTGGAGAAGCTTCAGCCAGTGCTTCAGCTGGGGACTGATGATGATGAGAATCAGCAAGAAAGGCCTGTTTCACTTTGCCTGCCTTTGAGAGTAGTTAGGTGGGCCCTCAAAGGAGAGGGGCCCTAACCATAGTGGCCCCACACCTCTGAAAGGAGTTACCATCAGGGGTGGGGGTCCATCATGCCCCATCTCTGAAGGTTTTAAAGAAGACCTACATGTTTACTTTGACCTTGCCCAGGTCACTTCTGTACTGTTACTATAGTTACGCTTTGGATTTTACGTCATGTTTTATTGCTGCAGCTTGCGGTCCTATGAATGCTTACTACTGTATTAGTGTATCAGGTTTTTAATTATCTTTTAAAAATAGCATATTAATTTCGATGTTGCGAGCAAATGTGGAATGCTTCTTGGAAGGCAGCGTAGAATTTTTTTAAAAATACAATACTATGAATAATAAATATTGGTCAGGTCTATTTGAATGGTGCAGCCCCCCACCTCCATCCCCGTTGGACAATACACAAAGTCAGCCAGTTTCCTTTCTCCACATTGAGAGAGACAGAGTGCCTCTCAACTCACTGAGAAGGGCAGAAAGGGTGAGCAGGTAATATCAGTGGGCATGAGCACAGCCACTGCCATCAGTGGGATAGAGGCATGCATCTGGCAATTTGGCCTCATTTGCAAGTTGCTCCCTGCACTTGGGTTAACAGTACCTCTGAATTCTTTGGTTTGAACTTTTGTGAATTGGCCTTCTGTTACCACAACCAGGCACTCTTTTAATTTAAACAGTAGCCTCTTGATCATTTTATAACTGAATGTGATAATATATTTAATATACATTTCATATACATTTCATCGCCCAGCCTGTCTAGATTGACTGCAGTTGGAATGCAAGCAAAACATGCAAGTGAAACCAAGTGGGTTCAGAAAAAATGGGGTTATGAAAAGACCAGTCAAGGTTAGCAGTGGGGTGTGACTTAGGTTAGTTAAACTAACTGTAATAATTTCTGATAACCCACTACTTTCGGACCAGCCAAAGCATGATTTTGCTGAGCTTCTATATATAGTTCTCCAGACATGGTTTTTTACAGTTAGGATGATTAATTTTTAACAGGCAAATCAGAAGAAGAACCAGTAAGTGTGATTCCAACTGTGTATCAAAGATTGGAATGAATGACTGGTTCAGTTTGCAACTGCTAGCAAAATCAAAGATTTTTTTTCAAAAAGATATTTGTATTTCAGAAACTTGCATGATGGGAAATGTAAGCAAGATACTGAATAGCAGTTTCTCTTGTCTTTCTTATATTGAAATATTCTGAAACTGAAATGACACCTATTGCTGTTTGCTAAATAAAATGAGCACAGGATTATTGTGATGTCCCTGAGAAGACTTTGGTTTTTTAAAAACTATATCTGCTGGTATTCGGGGGTGGGGGGAGTGTTCTCCTTTGCTACTGGTCATAATAATGCCCAAAGGTTTGTGTTGTCCCAATACTGTAGATGGCAGTAATGTACAAAGAAAATTAAATCTGTAGCTATTCTGCCTGTTTATTTACACTAGAGTGCACAGTAATGCACAGAAGTTTCTGGTTTGTTATCTGACAGGTTAATTTTACCACAATATACAGTATTCTATAAGTATAAAAGCAGTTTTTAGCAGTAGCACATTACTTCAAGGCCACTTGAAATGTCAGTTTAGATTATTTAAGGTACAATCCTATCAGATGCATGTAAGCCTTCAAGGTCACAGGACTTCATTGCTGAGATGGCAAAGAATCTTATGTCTCCCAAACAATGTTGGGCAGCCAAAGAATTGTGCCCTTAAAGGGCACAATTAAAGGTTAAAGGTTCTCAAATCCCTTCTAGGATCTTCTTACAATGCACTTATGCAAAAATACGGCAGTCTTCCTACAGACGTGTCCTGGGATGGTGTCGTACTTGGCATGGTTGGGTACTTGCCAAGGGCCCACCTCTCCGCAGGAGTCTGCTGACAAAAGGCTTCTGGAGTTGCTCCACCTCTTCACCGTTGTAATGTGCTTGTTCCTCTCTCTCACTCTGGCCATAAAGCAGTAGTGGTGAGAGAGAGGTACAGTAGATGCCACTTGTCTACTGGCTTTGTGCCTGCCAAGCAAGCAAGAAGTAAAATGCTAGGTACAAAAGCAGCTGGTAGCAATGACAGTGAGAAGTTAGACTTGGGTGTTGAGGATGTTTTTTCCAAGGGCTTGCAAAAACATAGACCTGGCACTGGACTTGACTAATGGCCAGGAATGGTCGGCCTTACATCTTTCTACCTCTAGACCTTTTGTAGATGGAGGATTTTGGCAGGTGCTGTGTTGCAGTACATGGGGCACTGGATTTTTTTCCCTCTAACCTTCACAACAGAGGAAGCAGTGGCATACTGGGACATTTATCATGCCAATCTCCATAGTCAAATTCCTCAAGAGTGGCAAAAAATGAAGGTTGCTATGTTGATCCAGATCAACAAACCAGTTCCAGCAGTTTTCATCTCTATGAGGAATGAGGCTTTTATAAATTTGTTTGGTTTTTATTGCCCATTCAAGACCAGATGACCCCAAAATACTTGGGGATTGGTTGTTGAGAAAATCCATTTTCCCACCTGCTGTGAAGATTGCAGCTAGGCTCAGGGGGAACTGGGAAATCTGAGCAGGTTGCAGTTGATGTTAGGTTTCTTGCTAATTAAAAAGTGTCAGCATTGTGTCCCTGCAATCTTTGGCTTGACTACAGCATTGCACAAAAGGTGGGCCATTGTAGTTTTAAGTATTTCAGTGGCCAATTTTTGCAGCAAAGATGGAACACAGGATATTGTTTTTGTTTTTGCTTGTTCAGAGCAGTGCATTTTGTAT